TACTCTTGGAGAAAAAAAAAAAAGTTTGCAACTCAGAATATATTCAAAAGAGAAGATCAAAGTCAAAGATGGTCAAAGTCAGGTCCTAAGAATGACTGAACACCATTAGCCTATGAGAGAGATGACCGAGGAGACCCCAACAGCTATACTTCTCCCTTAAACCCAAATTCTGGCTCACCTATGGATGTTGGTTTCTAGCTCAGTGGCCTTGGACAAGTCTCTGCACCTCTGAGCTTCCGATTCCTCCTCTAAGTAAGATAAGGGTATTTGGGGTTACAATGGTAGAAAACCCAACTTACGCTATCTTGGGCAATGTTGCTGTTAGGTGCCATTGTGTTGAGTACTACTCAGAGCAACCCTATGAACAACAGATCCGAAGCCTGTCCTACGCTGTGCCATCCTCATCGTCTCTGACACACTTGAGCCCATTGTTGCAGTCACTGTGTCAATCCAGCTCCTTGAAAGTCTCCCTCTCCTTTTCTGGTCCTCCACCTTTCTGGGCATGATGTCCTTCTCTAGGGAATAGGCTCTCTTAGCAACGTGTCCAAAGTGTATGAGACACAGCTTCACCCTCCTTGCCTCTAAGGAGCACTCTGAGTGTGCTTTTGCCAAGACATATCTACCGTGCACTCCTGGCCGTCGTCCATAGGATATTCAGTACTCTTCTCCAGCACCGCAGCTCAAAGGCATCAGTTCTTCTTCTGCCATCCTTATCCATCATCCAGCTCTCAGATGCAATAGTACACATAACTAACTCAAGAAATTGAAGAGTAGAGAGGTAAAACTGCTTTCTAGAGAAATTCATGAGCTTAGAAAGGGGTCCAAAGACCCAGTTTTTCGATCTTCTTACCCTACTTTTTGTAAGGTCCAGCTTCCCCTGAAACTGACTGGCTTTGTGGTCCCACACATGTTGCCCTGAGGTAAGAATCTATAGTCTTTATAGTTCCAGGAGAAAGTGGCTTTGTTCAAAGAGAAACTACGGGATTCCGTCTGCCTGGTCATATGTACCTACCCCTGAGTCAATCACTGCAGTCTAGCAAAAGCCACGTAATGACTGGCTTGGTCTAGGTCACACACTCCAGTCCTGGAAGGAGAGACAGTCAACTCCTCTAGGACCACTTAGCTACCCCCTTAAGCAACCAGGGACTGCTGGGTAGGATGGAAGGGAAATGGATGTTGAGAGGCATCATTGTAGGTCCACCTCCAGTCAGTGGTTCCTATGGGTTGTTGTTATGTGTCATCAAGTTGCCTGTGACTCATAGCAACCCTATGTACAACAGTTCTAAATTCTGCTCTATCCTGAGCCAACCTTATTGTCTCTGACACACCTAACCCCGTTACCCAAGTCACTGAGACAATCCATCTCATCGAGGGTCTTCTTCTCTTGTGCTGTCCCTCCTCCCTCCCAAGCATGATGTCCCTCTCCAAGGACTGGTTCCTCCTTGCAACATGTCCTAAGTATGTCAGATGAAACTTCAGAATCCTTGACTCCAAGGAGCAGCCAGATTTCACCCTCTCCAGGATGAACCTGTTTGTTCTCTTAGCAGTCCATGATATATTCAATACTCTTCTCCAGCACCACAGCTCAAAGACATTAATTCTCCTTTTATCATCCCTAGTCATTGTCCAGCTTTATGATGCACAGCAAGTGATTGTGAAGAACATGTCCTGGACCAGGCACACCTTAGTCTCCAGAATGACATCATTGCTCTTCAGTACTTTGGAGAGATCTCTGACAGCAGACTTTCCCAACGCAATTAATCTTTTGATTTCTGGCTTCTGGTACTAAGAGTGTTGATTGTGGAGCCAAACAAACTAAAGTGCTTAACAATCTCAATCTCTTCACTGGCTATTATGATCGCTGACAACTGGCCCAATGGTGAGAATCTTTGTTTTCTTAATGTTGAGCTTCGACCTATATTTAAGGTTGTAGTCCTTGACCTTCTGCAGCAAGCGCTTCAGGTCCTCCTCAATTTCGGCAAGCAAGTTTGTGTCATCTGCATAATGCAGATTGTTGATGTATAACTCAGGTTGTTGACGAGTCTTCCTCCAATCCTGATGTCACACTTCTGCTCATAGAGTCCAGCCTCTCAGATGATTTCTTCTGTATATGCATTGAAAAGGCATGGAGATAGGACACATCCCTGGCATACATCCTTCCAGATTTTAAATCATGCAATGTTTCCTTGCTCTGTTCTGATAACTGCCTTCTGGTCCAAGCATAGGTTTTGCATAAGCACAAGCAAGTGTTCCGGGATTCCCATTCTTTTGAATTAGCCACAATTTGTTGTTATCTACATAGTCAAATGCCTTTGCATAGTCAATAGAACACAGGTAGACATTCCTCTGGTAGTCTCTGCTTTCAGCCAAGATCCATCTAACAATAGCTATAATATCCCTAGTGCCAAGACCTCTTCTAAACCTAGCCTGCACACCTGGTAGTTCTCTTTGATATGCTGTTCCAGTCATTCTTGGATAGTTTTGGTTGCATGTGTAAGGATTAGACTAATGTATATAAAATCGATAATAGGTTCTTCTTGAAAGGCAATTACCCTTTTTGTTGCATAGAGTCTGTAACAAGAACAAGGGTCACATGGAGACAGCCATATCTGATCTGTACAAGCTTCACAGAGGGGAACTGTCTCCATCAACAGCATCAACAGCATAAAACCCATCCCCATGAGGTCAGACACGTTTCCCACACTCCCATACCCCTTTCTACTCATCTCAACATCAACCTTACTGTTTTACTGGGTCCAGACTCTAATGTGACCGCTCACAGACCACCCAGAACTGTACTGGGGTAGTTAAAAGGCTATGATCCAGATAAGTAGCAGAATGCAGCCAGAATGGATTCCACAATGCTCTCGCAGGGACCTCAGCCTTGAGCCTCATGACTTAAGACCAAGTGTTACGGAGTTCTTAGTCCTGTGAATTATGGCCCTCCCACCCTCAGGTGTCCAGCAAACTTTGGCAAAAGTTCTTAGCTCCTAGCCCAATGGGGCAGCAGTCCCAAGGTCCCATCTCCTTTCAGGTGTCTGGTTAGGCTATGGCTACTGCTGTAGGTATAAGCAGAGAAAGAATTTCTGGGCCCAAAGGACGAGTTCCATTCTCTTGCTTCTTCTTCACTTGTGAAGAAGATCTAATTCTCTTGCAACTAGATTGCTCAATTTGATGGCAAGACTAGCCAATCACCTTATGGACTGGTGAGACTAGCCAATCTCTTTGTGGAATGATAGATAGCCAAGCCCCTTGTGGAGGTTAACATGCCTCATTTGCATATTCCTACCCACATACCTGGCAAAGTCAAGCAATGGCTAGGAAAGTGATATTGAAAGATAAACTCCTCAGACAACAATATGACAAAAAGGAATAAGATTGAATTAAGTTGTGGCTCCAAAGGGTACAACTATGATCCATGAATAGAAATGTAAGGAAATGAGGTTTTGATTCAATAGAAAGGATTTTCTAATGCCTAGAACTGTCTTCAATGAGCCTCCCATCACCGGGGAGAACAAGAAATGGAGAGAAACTGCTCTAGTAAGACGTGTGGCGTGTGTACCACAATGGCTTGGTGTTACTATGATCCAGGAAACTGGGTTACCAGTATTTCAAATACCAGCAGGGTAACCCAAAGTTGATACATTTCAGCAGAATTTAAATACTAGGAAGAAAGGCCTGGGGATATCCTTCTGAACATCAACCAAGGACACACCTACAGATCGTAACAGAACACTGTTTAATTCACTTGCTTTGGAAACATAATCAGACGTGATCTCTCACTACTGGAGAGCATCATGTTTGGTTTAGTAGAGAACTAGGGAGGGTTCTTTTCAGATGCCATCTTCCCTTGAAGACTTTCCTGGTTATCTTCCTACAGGCTGAAGCCCCCACCACACTGCAGTCAGCAGGCCGGGAAGACAGACCCTCCCATGGACCACTATGGTTCCTCTGTGCTGGCTGTCCAGACAGAGTCATACGGGTCTTACCAGAGGGACAATGGTGGTTCTGGCCCCTTGAGGTTCAGACCAGTCGTGTGACCCTGGCAGGCCCTGCAGCCTCTTGGAGCCCCCTCTTTCCTCACCATCTGTAAAATAAGGACTATCATAAAACAAACAAACAAACAATTGTTGTCACATTGACTCTGACTCATGGTAGCCCATGTGGGTGTTAGAGTAGAAAGGTGCTCCACAGGGGGTTTGCTAGCTTGCTTTTCAGTGGATTGCCAGAGTTTTTGTCCAAGGCATCTCTGAGTGGACTTGGACCTCCAACCTTTTGGTTATCAACCAAGTACTTTAACTGCACTATCCACGGACACTTTCCATTTTAGAGTTGGAGAAATGCGTACTCAGAACACTAAGTAATGGGTCCAACTCAAAAGTGGAAATGCTGGCATTGAACTTGAGATCTCTTTGACCCCCCCCATCCCCCACCCCCAGCCCTAGTCCTTTCTCAGGAGAACTTGGAAAACAAGAAGGAAGAGCATTCATTTCACCCAAGGAAGCTTTATTCACAAGCATTTATTAAATGCCTAATGTGCCCAGTCGTTAGTTAGAGAGAACACAGTACAGCGGGTTGAAGCTCTAGAGAAGTAGCGGAGAAGAGGTGCAGAGAAGTGAGACAGCTGGTGAATAATGAATGTCTGGGCAACGCCACACCTCTCACTCCAAGCCTTGCCCAAGCCCACCAGTCGCTGAATTGAGCGGGAACCTTTAGATACCCATTGTGACCACCAGGTGGCAGATGTGAGCTGCTAAATTTGACTTGGTCCTTGAAGATCAATGGGTCATCTTGGGTCCTTTCAAGGAATCGAGTGCCCTGCCGAGCAAAACATCTCCACAGAAAGAGAAGAGTGTGTGTGATGCAAAAAAAGAGAGATGGCAAATCGGAGACCAGGGTGAGGTGGAAAAGGCAAGGCTCCATTTCAGGTTGAGCAAGCCCATCTCCAGCACCCAGGCTTTACAGCTAGGGCCCTCTGTCCTGGACGCCGGGGGACACTGCTAGGTCTTCCTCATGGTGTAGCCCTGGATCATGCTGTTGAAGTAGGCAGGCGTGTTCCGCTCTGGGTAGGACAGAATCATGTAGCACTTGGGCCCGAAGTAGCCCAGGCTGATACCCAGGAGGTTGAGCACCGTGACCGCAAAGTCCAGGATGGTGACCAGCACACCCTCATAGACGGACATGAAGGTGCAGAGGGTGGTGGACGAGATGAAATAGAAGGTCATGCTCAGGGTGATGAACTTGGCCTCGTTGTAGTTGGTGGGCAGCTCCTTGCCCATGTAGGCGAAGCTGAAGCCCGCCACCGAGAGGACCAGGTCCAGGCTGGTGTTGAGCAACAGCCCTTTGCGGAAGTTGGGGTTGCAGGAGAGGATCATGACCTTGGGGTCGTCGGGGTCAGCGCGGGCGGTGGGGATGAAGGTCGCGGCCAGCGCGTTGCTCACCACGATGAACACCTTGAGCGAGGTGATGGCCACCACGAAGACGTAGGGCCCATGGCAGCGGACCCAGTAGCTGTAGGCGCGAGGGAGGCGCCGGGCCATCTTGAAGACACAGACGATCTGAAAGGAGCGCACGGTGATGCAGGAGATGCAGATGGTGAAGCAGAGGGTGAAGAGGCCCTGGCGGCAGAAGCAGGTGAAGACCGTGGGCTGCCCCACGTACACGGGCAGCGCCAGGTATGCCACCAGCAGTGGCGCCAGCATCAGGAAGCACATGTGCCCCCCGGCCGAGCGGACCATGGGCGTCTGGAAGTGTCTCCAGAAGACAGCCAGGATGGTCAGGGTGCAGAGGAAGCCCAGGATGGCCAGCAAGGTCACTACGATGGTGGGCGCCTCATCCCACTCAAGGAAGGCCAGCCGGCGCTTGTAGCAGGCCACGTCATTCTTGTCGGACCACTCGTAAAGGGGGCACGGCTGGCAGTCAAATTCATCTGCAAGAGCCCACATCAACTCCCATCAGCTAAACCCAACTTCTAAATGCCTGTGTATTCTTCTTGTACTGCACCTGGCCCGATCTCAGGGCTGGACAGAGACCTAAGGGTCTCTCCCAACACTCACCGCGCCCCTTACATGCAATGACTCATGAAACCCCCACCGCAGCTCCATTTCCCAGATGAGGAAATTGAGGCTCAGCTAGGTTTAATCACTTGTCCAAAGTCATAAAGCTTAGAGCGAAGGAGCAAGAATTTATATAACTGAAATCTCTTTGGCTCAAAACCTAGTAACTATAAACTTTCTCTTCTAAGATATCACTCTCTGATGGGAGAGGAATGCAGTCATTCTCCCAAAGAACTCATCCAATAAAATTCTTTACAGCATCCTCTGTGATTGGCACCAGGGGTGGCAGGTTATGAAAGACTTGGAAAAAACTCAGCCCCTGGTTCCAAGCTATTGGGAGAAGAAAACTCAAAAGTTATTGTCATCAAGTTGGAACTAACTCACAATTTACTTTTCAGTGAGTTTCCACAGGAAGAAATTCTCTCTCTCTTCTCTCTCTCTCTCTCTCTCTCTCTCTCTCTCTCTCTCTCTCTCTATCTATCTATCTATCTCTCTATCTCGTCTGTGTTTCTGTGTATTCGAATTGCCAGAGAGGCATGGCCTTTGGATTAACAGCATGACACCCTTTGGCTGAGTGCCTGCTCCGCTAGGCACATAGGAAATGCTTGCAATGGGAGAGATTTTAATATATTTCATTCCCAAATCAGTAAAGCCAAGGACGTAAAAAAGTTGGGACTCCAATTTTGAATTATGCTCAACACTAACGTGATCAGAAAGACTCTTTCTTTGATCCCATTGCCCTGTAATTAACATTCTCCAGGGAAGAAAGTTCATTCTTCTAACCCAGAAATCATACAACAAACACTCAATGAGAAGCCACTATATGCTCCAAACTATACTAGATACTTAGAAAGTCAGAGAGGTAAATGCCCTTTGCTTGCCTTGGTGGCTCAGACTATGGGGAGTTGTACTGGGTCACATTTCTCTGGTGGTTCCAGTCTACCAGTGAACCCATGGGAGGAAGATGGGCAATCACCTCCTGTGTGATTTACAGTCTCAGAAACCTGCTAGATGGTCTGTCAGCTATGAGATAGTTCTGACTCAGTAGCAATGAGAGAGAAAGGGAGAGGGGAGTCCCTTGCTTGCTTGAAATGTTCCTCCCATTAGGAAATCCATTCGTTCATCTCTTCATTCACCTAGTGGCTATCTCCTGGCTGGACATCCCAGGGAGTGTGTGTGTATTTTTATGTGTGAATAGTAGGGATTAGTCACAATTTACCAGTTTCCTTTGGAGAGTGTTGGCCCCTCTTGCTCCCTGTATTGAGGAGTTTCCTCTCTCAGGTATTGAAGAGATACTAGGGGAATCAGACATGAGCCCTCATCTTTGGACACTTGTGCCTTCCTAAGGGAGGCACTAGAGATTCTCTCAAAGAGGAAGTGTCCTGAAGACACCGGGACAGTGCTGGGGCAGAGGCAGGATGCTGAGAGGTACCTGATTGGTTGAGGAAGGATCCAGGAAGGCAGTCGATGCACTCGAAGCAGCAGGGGTGGAGGCCCACGGGCTTCTTCTTCTGTCCAGCCTGGCATCTCTTGGAGCACATGGATGAAGGGACCTGCCGGGAGGAGGCCGAAACAACCTGAGCTCACGTCTCCCACACTCAGATGACTCTTCCCTCGTCTCCCCCATCAGCCGGATGTTCATGAGAAGGAATCATCAATAGGAGGAGAACTTTGTAGGACATCTGTAATGTTGTTTGCCAGGATCGAACCCAGCTTTCTCTGGTAACAACACCCTTAGACCATTAGCAGATTTTTCTAAGGTTGTTAAGCATGTAAGGAACGACCCTGGGACTGACATCAGACCTTTTGTCTCTAGATGGGACAAGCCCAAAGATGGTGCTGAGAGATGAAAAGTACTTAAGATCCTGGGTCCCTCCTTGCCTGAAGTGTCAGTATGTCCATACAGTTTTCTATGACTGGAGGGAATAAACTAACTCATGCTACATCACTTTCTACCATCTGCAACCCAGAGTCATAACGAACTCAACTTCATAACAGGGACAGTGTTTTTCAAATGAACAAGAGCACGTAGATGGTGACCACATCTTCTTTTTCATTTGGTTTTGGTTTTAAAGAATAAAAATTTATTTTCTTTCAATTCTAGAGCATGTCAATTGCTTTCATGTTTCATTTCCAGAGCCTGGGAAAATATCTCGCACAAAGGAGACATCCAATATTTGACTGATGAATGAATGGATGGATGGATGAATGAATGGACAGACTACAAGAAGAGGTGATCAATAGTGCATGCAATGGAATAGACGTGTGCAGGAGTCAGGTATGAGAGAGAGGAAGCCTGATGGAGGAGAACCACCCTCCAAAGACTTGTCTTCAGCACCATAAAAACATGAGGGCAGTGGGAGCCAATCATGGTTATTGAATGAAGGAGCGATTACATGTGTGATTGTAGAAAAAGAATTCTTATGGACAGTCAATTAAGAAGACATTGCAAGAAAACACATAACAAAGATCAAAGGTCCCTGGGGGGGGGGGGAAACAATTGTAGGACTCTTGACTCCAAAGTCACTCTCTTCTCCTCTCTCAAAGTTCTGCTGTCAAGTTCCACTCCCTAGTCTCTCCTGTACATGGCTGTCAAATGATGTTCTGAAGTCTTGTTCTCTTCCCTGAAACTTCTTCATGGAAAAACCTTAGTTACTCTGTCTCCAGCAAAAGTAAAAATCGGATCCCCTGCTGGGCTTCCGCACCTTCTGTGGTCTTCACTGCCTCCCTCTGTGATATACAAACACACACACCTTATCCAAACCTACTCTCCACTTACGCTAGCCATACATCCTCCTTCTCCCAAATTCATCTCCTGATTATTGCTGTTATTAGGTGCTGTCAAGTGGAGTATTGCGACCCTATGAACAACAGGCTTGAAGTCTGTCTTATCCTGTGCTGTCCTCTTCATCTCTGACACATTTGAGTCCATTGCTTCAGTCATTGTGTCAATCCATCTAATTGGGGGGTACTCTCTTTCACTGACCCTCCATCTTTCCAAGCCTTTTCCAAGGAATAACCTCTTCTAGAAACATGTCCAAAGTATGAGAGATGGAGCGTTGCCATCTTTGCCTCCAAAGAGTGCTCCGGCTTTCTAAGACATAACTGTTTATTTTTTTGACAATCTGTGGGATCCTTAAGCACCACAACTCAAAGGTATCAACTCTTCTTCCATCATCCTTATTCATTGTCCTGCTCTCAGATGCACAGTAGGTGATTGAAAAGACCATGGTCTGAATCAGATGCAACTCAGTCTTCACGCTAACATCATTACTCTTAAGTATTTTGGAGATGTTCCTGACAGCGGACTTCCCCAGTGTAATGCATCTCCTGATCTCCTGACTGCTGGTACCAAGGAAACTGACTGTTGATTCAAGCAAGATTAACTCATTGACCACTTCAACCCTTTCTCCGTCTATCATGATGTTGTCTGTTGGCTCACGGTAAAAATATTTTTTTCTTAATGTTGAGATGTAATCCCAATCACAGGTCACAATTCTTGATCTTCTGCAGCAAGCATTTTAAGTCTTCACTTCCAGCAAGGAAAACTATCATCTGCATAATGCAGAGGTTTTTTGTGGATTTTTTAATTGATATTTTAATGAAAGTTTACAGAAAAGTTAGATTTCCATGCATTCATTGTTGCATATTTTCCTCCCTACCCCCACCCCCATTTGCTTTTCTCTTTAAAAAGATTCTTTCATTGTTGCACAATTCCCCCCCTCCCCTATGCCCTGTCCAGTTTGCTATGCACCTTTTATTCTGGATTGTTCTCATACAAACAATACCTAGTCATATATTTCTTTTAGACAGTTCTTTCCCTCATCTATTTGGTTGCAGTGTTCAGTAGTTATCCCCTCTTTTCTTCATTTCCCCCAACCCTCATGACAGTCCTGTTTTATAGCAGTGGCATTATACAGTATTTGCTCTTTTGTGACTGAGATATTTCACTCAGCATAATGTCCTCCAGTGTCACTCATTTTGTATAATATCTTATGAGTTCCTTGTTTTTCAGTGCTATGTAGTATTCTATTGTGTGAATATACCACAGCTTCTCTACCCATTCATTTGTTGATAGGCACTACGGTAATGTAAGTTATCGATTAGTCTTCTTCTGATACTGATACCTGATCCTCTTCACAGAGTCCAGCTTCACAAATTATTTTCTCAACATGCAGATTAAATATGTTTGGTGAAAGATACATCCCTGACACATACCCTTCCTGATTTTAAATCATGCAGTGTCCCTTGTTCTATTCAGACAACAACATCTTGATCTTGGTTAGATTTCACATGAGCATAATTAGGAATTCGCATTCATAATTCATAATTATGTAATTCTCATTCTTCTCAATGTTAGCCATAGTTTGTCATGCTCCCCAGAGTCAAACGTCTTCACATAGTCAATAAACACAGACATTCTTCTGGTACGTCTCTTTACTGTTGTTATTGTTGTTGATTGTCTTTGAGTAAAACTCATAGCTACCCTATGAACAAAAGGCCTGAAGCCCCTCTACAACTATGGACATTTATCAAAGTTCATAGAGCTTCCGGAGGCATATTGTTTAGGAAATGGATGCCATTCTTGCTTCCAACTACACCCTTCTATATCTCCCATGTAACCAAGTTAAACCTACTTCTTACTCTTGGACTCTCATTCTGACATTCATTAAGAAGTTATTGAGGGTTATCAGTACAGTACCACTAAAGAAAAGGAAGACACAGAGAAATGAATAAGAATTTAGTCAACTAGCTTTGTAGTCAAGATGTTTGATGGAGTGCCTCAGTTCTGGGCTGAGATGAGCCTTGATCCTGGTGGAGACAAAGTCTCTAAGCCCAAACTGTAGCAGCATGGTAGCTGCTTGGCTGGACATGGCTGCTGCAGGGTTTTCAGGTGATTTAATGCTTTACAACATTACAACATATTTCAATTTATTTAATGCATGTGGGAACTGGAGTAAAACAATTTCTTTTCCAAAAGCTACCAAAATCTGCCTTCAGTGGTGGCTACTGCCTTCAAGTCAAGCATGACCCATAGTGACCCTATGAACAAAAGGCCTGAAGGCCCTCTACAACTATCAACATTTATCAAAGTTCATAGAGCTTCTGGAGGCATGTTATTTAGGAATTGGATGCCACTCTTGCTCCCAAACCTTCCTTAAACTGTCTTAAACTGGGAGCTTCAACAAATACTGTCCACCATGGGTAACCGTTATGCCATTTGACACCCCAATGGCACAAGGTTCAGAGTCACAGTAACCCCAGGTTACCTCAGTACAACATATTGACAGAAGAGTGCTGTACCACTTAGAAGAATGCTCCTCAAAAAAACAGTAACAACCATTTTTAGATACAAAGACCCTCCCTGAGGTCTTGTTAATTCTAAACATGAGGTTTAAATAAAAAACAACCAATAGAGTATGCTGCTATTGTTATGTGCCATTGAGTCCCCTGCGATGTATAGCGATCCTATGCACAGCAGCTCTGAACCCTTTCTTGTCCTGAGCCAGTCTCACTAATTCTTACATACCAAGCCCCATCACTCCAGATACTGTATCAATCCATCTCATCTGGAGTCTCCCTCTCCTGTACTGCCCATCCACCCTTCTGAGCATGATGTCCTTCTCCAAGGACCTATCTCTCCTGGCCACGTGCCTAAAATAAGTGAGGCAGAGCTTCAAAATCCTAGCCTTCAAGGAGAGACTTGATTTTACCCTTTCCAAAATAAACCAATTTACTTTCTTGTAGTCCATGGTATGTTCAAGACTTTCTCCAGCACCACAACTTGAAGGCATCTATTCTTCTTCTGTCAGCCTTAGTCGTTGTCTAGTTCTCTGAAGCATAACTAGTAATTAAGAAAACTATGGCCTGGATTAGGCACACCTTTGTATCTAGATTGACATTGTTGCTCTTCAGCACTCTGGAGAGGTCCATAACAGCAGATTAGTCCCAATGCAATTCATCTTTTTATTTCCTGACTGCAAGTGTTAAGAGTGTTGATTGTGGATCTGAGCAAGCTGTAATTGCTAACAGCCTCAATCTCTTCTCTATCTATCTTGGTACAGCCAGTTGGCCCAGTGGTGAAAATCTTTGTCTTCTTGATGTTGAACTTCAATCCATAGTGAAGACTATAATCCTTGACCTTTTGCAGTAAGTGCTTGAGGTCGTCTTCAGTTTCAGCAAGCAAGGTTGTGTCATCTACATAATGTAGACTGTTAATGAGTTTTCCTCCAATCTTGATGTCACACTCCTCCTCATAAAGCCCTGCCTCCTGAATTATCTGTTCTGCATACATATTGAAAAAGTATGGGGACAGGATGCATCCCTGAAACACTCCTTTCCTGATTTTGAACCATGCAGTGTTTCCTTGCTCTGTTCTGAAGACTGTTTCTTGGTCCAAGTATAGGTTTCATATAAGCACCATCAAGTGTCCTGATTCCCATTTTCCTCAAGGTTAAACACCACAATTTGTTGTGATCCACACAGTCAAATGCCTTTACAGTCAATGAAACACAGATAGAAACACAGATAGACATTCTTCTGGTACTCTCTG